TGTTGTCTTCATAGGTGCTCTGGTAGCGTAGTGGTTACAAATCGGGCTGTGAACCGCAAAGTCAGTAGTTTGAAACTACCAGCTGTTCCGCAGGAGAAAGATGAGGCGTTCTGCTCCCATAAAGATTTACAGCCTCGGAAATCCCGTACAGGGTCGCTATGAGTTGGAACCAACTCCACGGCACATAACAACAACAACAACAACAACAATATAGGTTGTCTTCATAAACTATACAGTGTCCCAGATATTTAAATATATTCATAACCAAGTTGTATAGTCATATTGTATTTTGTAAGTATTTGTTGTTATGAGCTGTCGAATCAGTTCTGACTCATAGCCACCCTGTGTCTGAAGAACAGCTGGTGGGTTTGAACTGTCCAGTGCTGATTGTACAGCCACACCAGGAGTCCTTTGTCAGTGTAAGTACAGGAAAATCCTTTGTCAGGCCATGTATCCTGTTTGTATCCGGAGACTATCATAGCCTCTTGAAGGGATCGGAAGACTGAACTCCTCTCCCTGTTTCTTCGCCTGGATAATCCAAGCTCATCATTTAGGTCCCATTGAAATATATCACTCATTTGAGGAAGCTCACTCAGACACCACCTCTTCCCACTAGGTTGGGTATTCTGCACTCTTTATTCCATTTTGCTTTTCCAATTATATTATTTACCTGATTTAAAAAAAATACATGTCCTCCAAGAGGTCAGAGGTCTCAATGACCCTGCTCCCAACTCTTTTTGCAGAATGGTGATCTCAGCCACTGTGCTAGGACCCCTGGAAGGTGTTAGAAAGCACCAGTACCCCAGAGACTCTGTGTAATAAGTGTGTGTGTGTGTGTGTGTGTGTGTGTGTAGGGGGGGCAGATGCTGGCAGCTGTTAAATTTGTTTTAACCTTTCATTGTGAATTGAGTGAAGGTTTACAGATGAGATCATCAGTGTTACATACAACAAATCACACACTTTGTTTCATCTCAACAATTACAATCCCGTCCAGGCAACAACAGTTCTCCTGCTTCCTCCCTGTGGCTCCTATTTCCAGTCCACTCGCATTCCCAACCCTTCTCAACTCTGTCCTGAGGTCAATGATGCCCTTTGGATTGTGACGAATTGACCAGTTCATCATTCATAATGATCACACCTTACTAGTGTTGTTGCCCCTACTGTATACCTATCCACTGATTGGCTGAAAGCTGGGCCATGAGAGTAAATTCCTTTCAAAACCTGAAGGGTGACTAAAAGGCAGAGTCTCAGGTTCCTATAGTCTCTTTCTGACCAGTAAGCCTGATCTTTTTTTTTTTAAGTAATAATTGTGAGTTTTGTTCCATATAAACTGTCACTCTATCCGGAATCTTCTAATATACTCCCTTTCGTAGCAGTTGGTAGTGGTAGCTGGGCACCATCTAGTTCTTCTGATCTCTGAGTCATGGAGACTGATGTTCACACATTCCATTAGTTCCACTGGACTAATTGAGTCCAAGCCTCTTCAGTTCTCATTATGCTTCCTTCTTCTGCACATGGAGAGACCAACAGCTGCATCACAGATGGCCGCTCATGAGCTTTAAGAGCACAGGTGTTACTCACCAAAGTAGATGTATTGTCTTTGTGGATTATGTCATGTCAATTGACCACTGTGTCCCCTGGGACCAGGAGGCCCCAAGCCCAATAATTCACTGTCTTAAGATGTGTGATAATATCTAAGAAGTTCTCTTCACTTGACCCACTGTCTGCTCTACCATGGGAGCGCAGAGACTACATACAATAAGCAAACGGACTGTGAACCACAAGGGCCACTATGTGAACCCAGCAGCCCCTCCACAGGAGAAACGGAGACTTTGTGCTCCCTGGAAGATTTAAAGGCTCAGAAGCACTCTCCAGGATTGCTGTGAGTTGGAACCGACTTGACGACACTCAACAACAACAGGGTTCATTGCATTCCTAGCTGTGTTTGCAGGAAAGGTAAAGGACCCATGCACCAATAGCCTCGTTCAAACGAACAGATCTGTAAGATCTACAGCTATACCCCACTTTCTCCCACATCCACTCAGTCAGTGTCTCTGTCCCTGTATCTATACACCGGATGCTGTTGTCCCAAAGTTGTGCATAGCTCACCATTTACCTGTAGCCCCTTTAGCCCTTGGTTCTTCAGCTAACCTCATTCTTTCTGGAAATATCCCACAGATTCTATTGGCAGTTAAGGAATGAACACCCTGTATGGGTGTTAAGAGCCATTGAGTCGACTCTGACCCAACGATTTTGCAGTCTGACGCATTAGCCCACAGCGTCACACTAGGATTCCTGTATAACATAGTAAGTAGGCTTAAAAATTGTTAGTTGAAAAAGAGAAACAAAGGTATTCTACATACATATGTTTAGTCACCTTTTCCCAAGACCAAGGAAGTGTCATGTGTACTCATATATCATTTTGCTGACATTTCCTCTTGCTAAAATGATTATAAATTAACTCAGAGCACTAACAGACATTCTGATGTGACACCAATAAGGCAATAGTTGGCTTTTCTTAAATATCAAGAATGGAATCAGAGGTATAAATTATTCAAATCCAAGCACACTGATTCATGCCAAAACTATGCCACAGATCAACAAGTGTCACCCCCTCTGTGTCTGTCTTGTCCTGTGCAGGGCTCTTCTGTCACTGCAGGCAAGTCTCTTGGAAACCTTATTCGAATCGCCAGTCCTATTATACTACATACTTGAGATCTCAGGGCATGAAAATGGCCTCTACAGACCATCCACAATGGCCTCAGCGCTGAGTCTAAAGAACAACATCTCAACTGACATTTTATCTTTAAAATCTCAGTCATCACTCCCCTTCTCTCTGGTTCTGGTGACAGTACATCGACCCACACGTTTCCCTCAGCCCGGCGAGCACTCCTCAGTCTCCTCTGCAGACCTCTGTCTCCTCTAGCCACCCCTTCAGTATTGTTCCTCAGGAATCACTTCTAGCTTTCTGTCTCTTTTCATCTTCTTGGATAAATACATTAATTCCCAGGGACCACACCCAAATCTCTCTTTAAATCCAACAACCTGGTGAATAGTTCCACTTGTGAGATAACTCAGAATCAACCTATCCCAAAAAATGATTTAATTACAAAAAAGAGCGACATCAGGCAATGGCACTGCATCCTAACTACCTGCCTACGTCAGACATCTGAGAACTGTCCTTGTTCCCTGTGCCCTCTTTCATTAAACGATCTAACAGAACATTTCGTCTGTTTGATGACTAGCTCCTGAATCCATCTACTTGACTCTCAGTACTCTGATCACAGTCTGAGCTCCAACCACAGAAGAACTGACCATACTTCTCTGAGAATGTGCAGTCCCTCCCCTGGAATGATCTTAATTCTTGCCCTCCTCCCTCCTTGATGGCAGCTAATTTTAAGATATCTTTCAGATCTTAAAATATAGACTAGTTCCTTCAGATCTCAAAATGTCACCTCCTTGGCATCAAATATCAGAATTGAATGCATTCTTAACCACCACCACAGTGCATTGCTTGTTTGGGGTCTTAGAAAGCAGCATTGTAGATTGGGACAGCTAACCTGTTTATGTTGTTAGGTGCTATTGCGTCAGTTCTGCCTGATAGTGACCCTGTATAGAGTCTGCAAGGAGCAGCTCGATGGGTCTGAACCACCAAACTTGCAGTTAACAGTTCGGTCCTTATCCTATAACACCAAACCAGCAACCCTACTTGTCTCATGTTGTCAGGTGCCATCGAGTTGGTTCCAACTCCCAGGATTTCTAAGGTGGGGCTGGGGGATCTGAAGCACCGACCTCGGGGTTAGCAGTCCAGTGCTTATCCCATAGCACCATGCCTGTCTACAGCCAGCACTATTTTGCAAGCTTCTTTTTAGCAGGGCCTTTGTGTGTTGTGTTTACCACCTAATGACATCCTTAGCACCACGCACTGGACGTTCAATACAGTCAATCTTTGGTAAGTTACACACTGTAAAATTAAAGTCAATAAGCCTGCATTTGAATACAGCTGAGATTTCTGCTTTCAAATGTCCTCAGGGTCTTTGCCCTTTAGGAGCTGTTCACCTTTCCAGGCTGCTGAGCAGGGTATTCCGTTCTTCAGGTCCTTATTAACTGTGGCTCGCTCTGAGACACTTTGCCAACCTGAAGCATTCTCCTCAGTTATTCTTCTCAGATTCCTGTGTAAACTGTTCCTGGTACCACTTATCATGGCTCTTAGTTAAGTATCTGACACCTGTCTCTGCTACTACAGAGCAAGTCCTGAGGGTAGGGACCAGGTCTGTTTTATCGACGAGCATCCAGCATGTTGCCTGGAATGTAGCAGGGATTCAACAGACAATGGACAAACCAACGAAAGAATAACTTCAAAAACTATTATCATTTCTGCATCATCATGCTGCTTTCCTCAAAATTCTGATCCTTTCATGAGCCAAACCTTTCTCAATACTATCAGTCGCCATGTTGTTGTTGTTGTGAAGTGCCATGGAGTTGGTTCTAACTCAGAGTGACCCTTATAGCGTTTCTGAGGAGTGACTAGTGAGTTTGAGCTGCCGACATTGTGGTTCAAGTCAACCTTGCAGTTCTGCACTACAGCAATGGTGGTGGTGGTGTGTCGTGGGGTTGATTCCGACTCACAGCGACTTTGCATAGGGTTTCTGAGGCTGTAAATATTTACGGGAGCAGAAAGCCTCATCTTTGTCCCATGGAACCACTGGTAGTTTCGAACTGCTGACCTTGAGGTTAACAGCCCAATTCGTAACCACTATGCTACCAGAGCTCCTTCCACTACAGGAATAGTCATGGTAAAAGAGCATCCTCACTTCCCTGTTCTGTTGGTTACATATATGTATGATGAACATCAGCAGGGGAGCAACGGGGAAAAAGGGGGCAGGTACAGATATCAGGTACCAGGTAATCACTCATCCCCTTAATAATTAAGACATGCCAACAGTTGATCAAGTGGCATTAAAGAGTACCCTAATAAACCGGAAGAGAAGTCACCATGCCTTTCAGGTCTTTTATGTAGCCCTCTTTGCAGCCGTGCATGAGCTGAAGGATCCACTTGTGTTGGGCTCCGATACACTGCCAAGCTGGGTCACCAGGAGCGTGAAGGTCAGACAGATACCTGAAAAAGAAGTCCAAGGCTTGTAACCCTACATGAAATACATGAAGCTATAAAGAAAAAGCCAGCACATTTCAAAATCATTAAGAAAATGCACAGGTACATCATTTAGTAAAGTATCTGTCAACAACAGCATTTAGCATTTAGTTCTCCATGAAATATATTCAAGTCTCTTTTCATGCAATTAATAAATGGTAATAAACTGTGCTTAACAACAACAAAAAAAAACGTTTAGCTGCTCTAAAAAGGCCATTAGAAGGCCATGGATAGAGTGGGAGAAAATGTGGAACAAAACTCAAATCAAAAAGAAAGACAAACACACCAGGCTCACTAGTCAGACAGAGACTTGTGGAACCTGGCACCTGTGGGCCGTGGTCATCCTTCAGGTCTGGAAGTGAATTCACCCCCGTGGTTCAATTTACACTAAAGAAATAGATACACATATGGGGGGACAACAACACTAGTGAGGTATGCACGTCACCGAATAGTCAACAACTGAAGATCAAGAGGCAGAGTTTACGCAAGGATACAATTCGGAAGGGCTGGGAAAAAGGAGGAGGACTAGAAACAAGAAAACACAGGGAGGAAGTCAGATTCAGTGATGTTAGATTGATGGGATAGCAATGGTGATCAAACAAAGCAGATGCTTTCTTGAATATAAAATTCATGATCTAGTCTATACACCTTCATTCAATTTACTATAAAGAATTTTTGTTTTTTAAAAAAAGGTTAAGGACTTTCCAGGAAGACAAAGACAACTTGCGATAGTCTTCTTGACTGTTTGTGAACTTTCTTATAATTTACATTTCATTTTGAACTTCCACTTAGTTGTTACTATTGTTAAATGACATTGAGTCAGTTCAGACTCACAATGACCTTACACAAACAAGAACAAAGCACTGCTGGGATCCTGTTGTTATGTTTGAACCCAGTGTTGCTACCACTGCATCAATCCACCTACTTGGGGGAGGGGGTTCTTCCTCCTTTTTGTGAACACCCCACTTTTCCAAGTATGACATCCTTCTCCAGGGACTGCTGCCTCCTAACAAAATGTCCAAGGTACGAGAGACGAAGGCTTGCCATCCTTGCTTCTAAGGAGCAATCTGGCTGTACTTCTTCCAGGACAAATCTGTTTGTTCAGGTACTCCATGGTATTTTTAATATTCTTCACCAACACTGTAGTTCAAATGCATAAACACTTCAACAGTCTTCCTTATTCATTGTCCAACTTTCTCGTGTACATGAGTCAACTAAAAATACCATGACTTGGGTCAGGCACACCTTAGTTCTCAAACTGACATCTTTGCTCTTCAGCATTTTAAGGTCTTTTTTGTCTGGTGTGGTGCTGTAGGTGAATACGCTAGGCTGCAAAGTCAGTTTGAGCCGTAGTTCAAGCTCACCAGCCACTACTCAGAAACACTATACAGAGTCGCTATGGGTTGGAACGGACTAGACGGCACTGAATAACAACAACAAATACGTCTTTAGATTTCTTAAATGTTGCTTCCTTGAGTGTTGATGATGGTGATTTCAAAGCAAAGTGGACATAAGTAAGAGGCGGGGCTCGATGGTGGCTAGGGTGGAGATGCAGTGAAGTTCGCCTTCAGCAATACCACAGAATACCAGGCAAAGCAGATCCAGGGCAGAGCTCCAAAACTTGAACCACAGAGACAGGAATATTTTAAAAGTTTGAAGGTTTATAGCTAGTAGAACTTGAGGCTGAAGTAAAAAATTGGGTACTTTTAAATCTGCCGTATTTGAAGGCCCGGTGCCGACATCTTGGGAGAGACCAAACGGCAAGACCAAACAGGGGAGCAGACACACCATGGAAAAATGCTGCGGGAACCTTGGAGCAAAGGTGGACAATACACTTTGTCAGTTTTGCTTTGTTCTGATTTTCTTTTTTTTGGTATCTGGTCACTGGCACCCCCACAGTTTGCCCACCTCCATTCTGGTGACTAGAGAGGAAGGCTGAATGAGTGGACACCCCCCACCCTCACCACTGGTGGGTTTTTCTGCCACGCATGTGCACAGATACTCAGCCCAAGTGCAGGCCCTCAATGTTTGTTGTTGTTTTTTTTTAAAATACATGAAAGGCCAGGACAGGGCTGTAGAGAGGGAAAGAGAGTTTAAAAACAAAACAGGCCAAAAATTAACTTAAAGCCTGAGGTATAGCATAACAACCAACAGTGGCATCTTGAAATTTCTCAGGCAGCTTTGAAAGCAAGAAGCTGAAAAAAGGACATTAAAGACATACTCATATTAGGCTACAGATTTTTTTTTCTTTCTTCTTCTCTCCCTCCTCTCCCTTTGTTGTGATTATAGACTGCAGTATTCAGTTTAGTTTTGTGTTTTGTTTTTGTTTTTGTTTTACGGGTGCTGTTTTGCTATTTTATGCTTCCTCTTCTACATTTGGGGAACTCTTACTCTCCTTATATTACCCAAGAAGAGTCAGCAACTGCTGCCATGTAGTCAAGCTACACTCACACTCTATAAAACATCAAAACCAATACCAACTGCCATACACCAGGGAGACAGACAACACCTGTGAAAGTAACTCTGAGTTAAGCAATAAGAAGAGTGAAAAGGGACTCCCACATCCTGATCACATCTACCTGAAAGCAATCCAAAAGCATAAAAAATACCAAAACACATACTCAATTAAGTATTAAGGTCACAGATACACACTAAACATGTACAGGAAGGAAAAGCAGATACCATATCAGCACATGTCCAGAAACAAGATAAAATGTCTGAGATAAACGAACTAGAGGTAGACCTGGACTCCATTCTCGAAGGAGGGCAAAGCCTTGGAAATGTCTGACAAGGAATTCAGAAAAAGGATTATAAAATGTTTCAAAACATTTTATGATGGAGTTGAGAAAAATAAGGAAAAAGCCAATAATACGCTACAGGAACAATCAAATAAGATAAATACAAAATTGGAAACAATTCAAAACCTACATAAAGAGGTCCAAACAATCAATAATAGAATATCAGAAATAAACAATACTCTGAAAGGGCGAAGGAGTAGAACAGAAGACATGGAAGGGAGAACTAGTAAGCTGGAAGACAAATCTCTCAATATCACTAAGATAGAAGACCAAACAGAAAAAATAATTTTAAAAATCTGAAGAAGGTCTAAGACTCATGTTGGACAAAATGAAGAGGAATAACATAAGAATTATTGGCATTCCAGAACAAGAAGAATCACACAAGTCCACAGAGGAAATAGTTGAAGAACTGCTGGAAGAAATTTTCTCTAACATCGTGAAAAGATAAACATTCCAGAAGCTCAAAGAACCCTAGGAAGGATGGAGCCCAAAAGATAATTACCGAGACATATCATAATCAAGCTCTCCAAAATCAAACATAAGTAGATACTCCTATAAGCAGCTAGGGAAAACAGAAGTGTCACATACAAAGGCAAGCAAGTCAGATTAAGCTCAGCTATCTCAGCAGAAACCATGCAAGCAAGAAGGCAATGGGGATACATATATAAAACCCTGAAAGAAAAAAACTGTCAACCAAAATCCTTTATCTAGAAAAGCTAACAATCAAATATGACAGACAGTGTAATCAAAACATTCCAGGATAAACAGAAGCTAAGGGATTTTGCCAAAGCCAACCCAGAGGTACAAAACTCCGAAAGGGAGTTCTGTGGACAGAGAACCAACAAGAACAGACAACAATCAAAAATTGTCATATGTGGCAGCACCTCCCAGAATTAAATCGACAGAAGGAAGAATCAAGAACAGAACAAAACTACAAGAACAAACTCAGAGAATCTGTGAGGTCAGTCTATGATCAAAACAATTACAATGTAAAAGAAGGTAAACATGTAGGAACAGAGATCCAGGTGGTGAGGTCAGGTTGATTACAGGATAAAACAGACTACATTAAAGGGAGAGAAAAGTTAATAGACTATAAGGCAACCTCAAAGAAAATTAACACTTCACAACATACCAAGAGAATAAAAATCCAAGAAGAACATGGAAACTTTAAAACTATGAGGAAACCCACAAGAAAGAACACAAAAAGCACGGAAGGAAGACACAGAACAAAGAAAGCAGCAACAATACAAAGAACAAACATAATGGCAGCAATGAATCCTTACCTATCGATAATGACACTGAATGTAAACAGATTAAATGCACCATCAAGAGACGGAGAGCGGCAGAATGGATAAGAAAATAAGATCCTTTGGCCAGGGCCATAATTAATTAAGGAATTAAAATAAATAAATTGAGACATATTAATAGAGGAATTAAATAA